CACCCATGCCAACACAAACAATTAAACCCAGTACTTACCAATCCTTAAACAAAATCCGCTTCTTCTACTCAATAATAAAATTAACGAACTGAACTCGAGACTCAATTATGATTCTGCTGATGTATTATATATTTCTGCGAGACTTGGTTTGACCATAATTTTCTGCTCATAATACAAAATTAGCAGGAACCTTTTCATGCTTCACGTAACAATGCGGAAGGAAGAGTTGCAATCTATTTTAAAACTAACCTTACAGTCTATCAAGTTACAGAGTCCCAGCTACCTACTGAATTTAGCGAGCAAGTCTGGTGTGGTCTCAATGTTGGAAAAAATTGCGTTCTTATTGGTTGTGTTTACAGGCCCCCATCATCAGACGTAGCTACCAATAATAAAATAAATCGATCAGTCAAAAAAGCGTCCTCACTTGTAGATCAAAGCAAATTTACCCATTTATTATTAGCTGGTGATTTTAACTATCACATTACTTGGTCAAGGTCTGGTGGATTATGTAGAACCTCTTCTAAAGAATTCTAGTTTGAATTCTAGTTTGTTAACTATAATTTTCTTGATCTAGTTTTTACTGACAACCCAAGTAGTCTTACCAATATTTTAATACAACCTCCACTTGGTCATACTTTGAAAGGTAAACTTCACTTGACAATAACATGGGATCTAATACTTGCCGACAACGCAGAGAAGACCAGAACTACGGTTAGAACGGATTATAACAAAGTTGATTTCAATGCCATAAACTCCTACTTTCTCAGACAAAATTGGAAAACGCTTTTTAACGATAAAAACGTTGTAGAGTCTACCAAATATTACAATATCATTACCATATAGTTATGGATAAATTTGTGCCTGTTTACCGTTCAACTGTTTGAAATAAAAATTCAATTTTATATGTTTCCATCGTGAAATAATATAATTTAATCGTAAAACCCTGACGTACTTTTATTGTAAAAAGGCGTTTTTATAATATGTTATGTACTCTCTTTTGTAAAAGGCTTCTGACGATAAGATCATTGTGATCTTCTTTTAGAAGCCTTGTTTGTATTTTATAAATATTTAATTTATATATATTACGTCAAATGTAAACAAACAAACAAACAAACAAAAAAATTAAGATAGCAAAAAAAGATAAATTTTCAGCATTTACTTGGCTTCGTGTTGCTCCGCAAACTGTCAGACCATTTCTTAAACCAGCATTCAATAAAGCTTCTCGTCGCGTAAAATCATTTCTAGCTAAAGTTTCAAAATGAATGTTGGATCCCAAGCTGCTCTATTCGCATATTAACATGCAAAAATCAACCAGAGAACGCCTTCAGACTCTTGTTGACCATACTGGAAATTTAACCACGGATCAAATAGAAATGTCAAATATTTTAAATAAGCAGTTTTTTTCTGTGTTTTCAAAATTTTTTATTAATGTTGTACCATCTTTTGATCCACGTACCACTACTTATGCAAATATTAACGAAAGCATCTTTTTAAAAGCATCAACAGAAAATCAATTAAAAGCACTTTAAACCTGCAGGGATAGATAATTTTTATTCCCATATGCTAAATAAAATGCACTCTTCAATTTCAACTCCAATTTCAATCATTTTTTGAAATTCTTTTTGCTCAAGTTCAGTTCCAAATAGCTGGAAGTTAGTTAATATTACACCTATCTACAAAAAAGGTCAAAAAACTAACCCTGAAAACTACCAACCAATCTCAATTACATCTGTTCTATGCAAAATGATGCAACTTGTTAGAGATGCAATGCTTAAGCATTTACTTTCGAAAAACCTTCTTGACGCAAACCAACATGGCTTTACTCCTGGTAAGTCTTGTTTAACCGATTTATTGGAATCATTTGATTTAATTACCCACGCTATGGAATCACGTTATGACGTTGTTGTAGTTTTGATTGACTTTGCCAAAGCGTTTGATAAAGTTAGTCACTCGCTACTTCTTAAAAAAGTTAGCGCGTATGGTTTTGACGAATATATCTGCCAGTAGATAAATGCACTCCTATCCAATCGAAAACAACGAGTTATTACAGAAAATTCAGAATCCGACTGGTTGAACGTCCTCAGCAGTGTACCTCAGGGTTCATGTATTGACCATTACTATTCCTCATTTTTATTAATGATATGCCTCGTCTACTCAATCAACAAAACTTTTGTTGATGATAAATTTAATGATCCCTGCTTCCAACTAACAATGACTGACAAAACTGGCTTTTCTCACATTCTTAAAAAGACCATCTCTGAACGTAATCTTGGTGTTGTTGTTCACAATCGGTTTTTGTTTAAAGTTAACAAATTGGTTGAATGTTCTGCTAAAACCTACCCTACTCAAAAAGATTTTGTTGTTTTTGTAGAAATTCTGACAAAATTAAAAGCAGATAAAGATGAAAACTGAATGTGCATTGAGCTAAAAAACTAGTATGATCTTTCTGATGTTCTTTCAAATTATCAAAAAATCATCCATAATACAGAATGCAGATATTTATCCCCCACCCCTTGACATAAAAAAAGAAAAGACAAAAATGTTATCCTGAGAGTGTAATTGTGATAGAAACATCTACAACCTCTCTACAGAATATGTTTAATCATACTCTGGCAAGGGTACAAACTTCAACTGAATGTAAAGACTCTATGAGAACATTCTCTAAAAGTGTTTTATTTTTTCTACTCTGCATTGCTTACTAAAATAAATATATTTTATCTTTAGGATGCAAAATAGAAATTAAAAAATAGTTTGTCATATCCCATGTTAAAAAAAAAGCATAAGTAAATAAAAAATATACTTATTCAACATTATTTAGTGAATATATTTAGAGAGGAGCTAAGTCTTATAGTTGATATGACAACAGTGTTTTAGTAACACTAATGATGGGGACAAATAAATATAAATTCTGTTATATAAAATTTTCTCCAAGATTTTTGAAAATACGGATAAAATAGATAAAGAACGATAGTTGCTATCTGAATCACCTCCGCGATTTTTAGTTGGAAAAATTCCTTGTCTAATAGTAATAACTTTTTTTTTACTACAAATATTTTAATAACAATATTTACATTAATATCATCCACACCAACTGATTTGTTGGGTTTTAGCATTTTAGAGGCGCATTTAAACTCTTCAAAAGTTTGTTTAAATAAATTGAACTGTTATGCAACAGGAATTGTTACGTAGTTTAATGAATTAATTGCTTGAGGAACTTCTTGGAGAAATTTGGATAAACAGAAACAAGATATTTGTTCAACTTATTAGCTTTCTCTTTTTGATCATGCAAAAATGTCAGACTCTATTAACTAAATTCTTCGGAAAGCGCCATACACTTTAAAAATTATTGTTATAAACAAACCCTCTAATGCAATTACTTACTGCCAATATTCTTGATTTTAATTTTATTTATTTTTATATTCTTGATCTTAATTTTCTTACCACTAAATTCATTTTATAATTTTTTTAACACTAAAAAAAGTTTTCGTTTTTACTTTTGACCTTTTAGTAATTCTAAATGATAAAAGTAGTAACCGTATTTTAACGATTTTTTCACTTCAATAAAATAATCGAATTATTTACAACAATTTATATGAACTCACTGCTATTACAAAATTAATTTTCTTTTGTCAGTTTGTTAGAGAAATACTAATTGTAGAATGTTGGCTTTATTGTAGATTATTATTATGTGATGTTAATCAGAATAATGATGTATGCAGAACTTTTATTTAAAATATCTTTATTTAAAATATTGAATTAACTTTATCTAAAATATATTTTTTTAAATATTAGTTAACAGTTATTACTACTTATTATTATTGTTAAATATTTTGATCAGTATTATTATTACTATTAATATTATATCTAACAGTATCATTTTTATTATTATAATTTTACTGGTTAATTTTGCTTTATTATATGATTACTATTATCTAATCTTTACTTTAGATTGGTATTCATACTATTTTTATGTCATGACAACTCTTTTTCAAAATATTTATTGTTATTGTTATTCCTTGTTTTTTTTTAGTATTACTTTACCTCTCCAAGACCGAAAAGGTCGAGGAGACTTTAATTGTGGTTATAACCTTCTCTCAAATCTTTAACTCCAAAACATGTTAAAACAAAAAACTTGAAATAAATTGTTTTTTACAAGTTTATTTTTTAAACAAATATTGTTGAGGTTAAAAAAATTATTTTATTTATAAATAATATATTTAGTACGAAAACAAATTACAAAAACACATATTTTGCAGAAAACATTTTTTCATGAGATGATTCAAACATTTACAAATATAATTTAAGTTTTAATTCAAAAAAATACACAGCAAACCTAACTTTTTGCTGGGGCAGGTACCCTTTGTTTTATTATTTGTTATTGATTTGTTGGTACTTTTTTATTATGATTTTTTTATTTATGTATCTAAAATCCTCACATGAAAATTAGCTAAGGTACTTATTTTTATCTATTTTCTACAGACTTGGTTTTATAAAATGTAAATTTAAAAATGGCGGAAATTGATCAAAGCATTAATATGAGCCAAATTAATAAAGGACCAAATTATTTAAGGAATTTATGGGATTAATTATATTTTATAATGTACTATTGGTAAAATATTAAGAAAACCTAAGAACGTAGAGTTACATTTAAAAAAGAAATTGGTTGTTTTGACATATATACTCAGTATACCTATCAACTATTTTACTGTTGTATGGAATTGTGTAATATAAAGACCAGTTCCAAAGTACATTGAGTAGTGTGTAGTAATGTGCATTGAGTATTATGCGATAGTAAGTTCTCGACTCTAGTGACTCCCTTTGGAGCCATGGGGTGGTGAATTTAATGATAAAAAATCTCGTGAAAATTTATTTAATTAAAAATATTTATTTAATTATTATAAATCTTTTTTATTTTTTAAATTAATTAACTACTATATATATATATATATATATATATATATATATATATATATATATATATATATATATATATACAAATATAAAAGTTGCATAGTTTATATCGAGAGGTTGAATTTATTTAACATTGGAGAGCTGTGTAAAATACCATTTTAAAAACAAAAATCCATCGTCAATATTATATTTTGATTCCGATAAAAAAACTTGCGGTAGGATATCGCGAAAGTTTTGGTTAGATTCCAATTTATTTGGTTCAAACACAAAACTATTATCAGTGTAATCCATAACCATCCCAAACTCGTGTCCTAAAGAAAAGCAAATAGTGAAAAATAGTTTCGATTTTTTAATTTAATTTTTGTTGATTTCCTGATGTTTAAATAATTAGTTAAAATAAAAAACAATTAAATTGAAAATAATTAATTCCACCCTACCCGATCTATTACATAGCTTGTAATAGATCGGGTAAAATTATTACATAGCTTGTAAATTTCCTCCTACCCTTTCTAGACTAGATGAACTAATTCAAAACATGTAAATTTTTTTCTATTACAAAGCGAGTAAAAAAATAAACTACCATTTATCGGTGAATTAATGAATTGAACTCTACAGTTAAAAAAGCATTTATTTGGTATATCTTGTTCGCAAATTTCTTCGTTTAGGCTTGAATCTATCCAAACAGATATTCCGGTCAGTAGTGAATAGAAATCAAGAATCTCTTGCAGGTCTAATATAGCATTCTAAATAAAATATAACATGAAACTAATAGAATGTAAATTCGATAAAAAAAAAATATTTTAAAACTCTCAAAAACAAAATAAACATGATATACTTCATAAATTAACTCTTTTGAAGTTTTAATAGGTGCAACAAATAGCTTCTCGTAAATAACTTTTCGTCGGTTTGCCCGTGAAAGACATTGAGGAGTAGTTGTTTTACTAGAAAAACTTTTGTCTGAAAAAAAAATGTTTGAAATAATTTATCATAATATACATAAAAATAACACTGGTAAAAACTTAGTAATAACAAATTAATTAATGAACGAAACTTTATGTTTAAATGAAAAATTACATCAAATATTTTAAAATATCGTCGTAAAGATTGATGGTGGAGAAACACAAAAACAAATCTACTCAAATTTTTTAGTTAAGAATTAGACATAAGCATAATCCTAACCATTCGCTCTTTTTATTTCCACCATATAGTACTCTTTCTGCCGTTAAGTTCTTTAAGTTTATTATATTAGCTGGTTTAGCAAATACATTAAAATAGATGTTTGTAAATGTAAGAAACAATAAAGCTTCTAAAACATCTTGGTGATTATAATATATCGATTCTTAAATTTCTTTTGTTCAAAATTATTGCATTTGGTGTGATTTAAATTACTACATTTGTAATAAAAATATTTTTTCTACTATCAAATTACTATTTCAGTTGTAGAAAGAATGTTTTAAACTTAGATAACTAAGTATTTTGTGACCTTATAAAAGTATAATCAGGAAGTGAATTATCAGATTCAAGGTAAGACATCAAAAGTTTGTTAATCAAAGAGAAAGAGAAGAAAGTCAAAAGTGAATTCTTTTTAAAGTAAAGCAACCTGCCAATTGCTAAACTAGGATAGAATAGGATTGCTAATATAGTATAGGGCAAATTTTTAAATTAAAATCATCATAATTTTAGTGACAAAAAAAAAAAAAAAAAAAACACCATTTTTTCAAATTATTGTTTCTGCAGCTTTAAAAATTTCATTATACTTTCCGAAACATAACATCTTAGAAATATTATGTTTCGAAATGAAAATGAAACAAACCTAAATTCAACACATGCATACGCACCAAATGGCCTGCCAAATCAGGCAGAGGCAAAAAGAGGAAAGAGGAGGAAAACAAATGGAAGAGGAGGAAAAAATAAATGGAAAAAATAAATTATGGTAATTAAATCTTTTTAAAAGTTTTTGATGTAATAAATATTTTGGGCAAAAAAATATATGATAAAACATGCTAAACAAACAATATATGATAAAACATGCTAAACAAACAATATATGATAAAACATGCTTTTGTGCTCAATAAATATCTTTTACGAAATACTGTTTTTTCTGAATAGATTTTTTATTTATTAATCGTACTGAATATGTTAAAGTTAAAAAATAATTGCTAGAAAAAATTATAAATTTATTTTTTCTAATAAATGTGAAAACTAAAAAAAAAATTAAATACAGTGTCTCAAAAAATTATCCGACCAAACAAGTTTTTCACAAAAAAAAACGTTTAGGCACTAAATTATACTAAAAACAATAACGATACTTGTCATTTTAATTTTATTGGGAATAGTATGTTATTTAGCGTTCATATTTTTTGATTCATGCTTCAGGTTTATTATTTGTCCTAAAAGAAACTTAGTATTGAATAGGCTTGTAAAAAAAGTTATCTGACCAAGCGATATTTAGGTAAGTTTAACTTTATGTGAAATTTGTTGAAATATTTTAGCAAATTTTTATACAATTAATGAAATTGCATAACAAAAAACTGTTTTTTTGTAGTAAAAAAAAAAGTTTAGTATAAAAAAAAGGTTTCATGTCTTATTAAGTAAAATGGTTGGAGATAAACGTCACTGGACTGTTTCTCAGAGAAATTTAGCTGTCGATCTAGTCAATCAGGGTAAAACCTATTGTCAGGTGCAGCAAGAGACTGGAATTCTTCATAATACAGTATCTGACATAAGAAGTATAATTTGATCGGAACAACAGCCGCAAAAGAAGGACAGGGTTGCAAAAAAAAGACTTCATTTCGCTTCATTTCTGCTCAAAAACTAGCTGAGCAAGCTGAAGAGAATTATGGAATCAAATTATCCCATCAGACAATCAGAAATTGTATCCAAGACCAGGGATTTCAAGGACGACTTGTGCGGAATAAACCATATTTGAGTAAGAAACACATGAAATGAAGATTGGAGTTTGCGAAGTTTAAAAACATGCCGTTAAGTTTCTGGAAAAAGACCCTGTGGAGCAACAAATCAAAATTCAATTTAAAGTCATCTGATAAAGCCCAAAAAGTTTGGAGAAAAGCTGGAGAAGCCTACAAATTAAGCTGTGTGAGAGAAACTGTCAAGTATGGTGGCGGTAAAGTGATGGTATGGGGTTTAATGGCTTGGAAGGGTGTCGGAAAACTCCAATTTATTGATAATATAATGAATCAGGTGCAATACAGAAATATTTAAAGCAAAATTTGAAGTCATCTGCTCAAAAACTTTGGCTAGGATCTAATTTTACATTTCAGCAAGATAACGATCCCAAGCATAGTGCCACTAAAACCAAGGAGTGGTTTGCTGAAAATAATGTTGAGTTCTTGGAATGGCCCGCACAATCACCGGACCTTAATCCCATTGAACATTTATGGAAAGTTTTAGACCAAAAAATTGGAGATCGGCCATTTTCCAAAAAAGATAACCTCAAAGTGGCAATTAAAGAAGCCTGGGAAAAGATTCAACCAGAAGAAAAAAAATCTTTAGTCGAATCAATGCCTAGACGTCTAAAAGCTGCAATCCAAGCAAAAGGAGGTCCTATAAAGTATTAAAATAATTATTTTGTTATTTAATAATTTATTATGGAGCAAAAAATATTTTTGGTCGAATATTTTTTATTTTTATTAATCTCGAGTTTACCAAAAAACATTTACAAAAATAAAGCACTTTTTTTAGGAAAAATATTTTAAAAAATGTTTGGTCGGATAATTTTTTGAGACACAGTAAACATACTCCTTTAGTTGGGACAAAGATTTAATTTATAAATAAGTATAGCATCTTAAATTTATGCCTTTGATGCAGTTTTAAAGTTACTTTCTTTTCTGCACTTATTTTTATTTATAGCCATTAATTAAATTTTAAATGAGTTGAGTCCATTATTTCAGATTTTTCGTGTATTTATTTTTAATAAAAGGTGTAAATGTTTTAAAAAACTGTTTTAAAATAATGAGATAATAAATCTTTTAAATGTTTAAAAAGTTACTTAAACATGAGTAAATTTTTTATATGTGGATAATTTAGACATTTCCTCAAAAAAAAAAATTGTAATGAACAAAAATACTTTATTGAAGCATGATAAAATGACAATAATTCTTTCAACAATAAAAAATAAATAAAATAATAATCTGACCTTGGATTGCCTTATAAGACTTAGCTTGATATTCATCTATTTGCTTTTTTAGTGTCTCAACTTGACTTGTGAGTTGTTCAACTTGATCACTTAGCTCACGATTTTTATCCTGAATTGCAAATTTTTCTGTTTCTACTACAAAAATATTTTCAAGCAGCTTTTTTTTTGTCTCAACCAATCCTGAAATGTATAAATACAATGTATATGTATGTGTGTGTATATATATATATATATATATATATATATATATATATATATATATATATATATATATATATATATATTATTTATTTACTTTTATCAAGCAACCATTTACAATTAAAGGTGATTTCCAATAAAATATTTTAAAATATTAAATACAAGTACATTTCATTAATTATAGTAGTTATGAGACCGGAGAACCTGAAGAAGATAAAATCTTATCATCAGTAACCTTTGGTAATAAAAATAATTGGAAATAAAAGTGTATTGTAAGAAAAAATCATGTAAAGAATCTTGATTGGCAATAAGTTTGATTATGTTCTTTTTAAAATTTTGAGAGGTATTGGCTTCTTTATGTTTACAACTCAGGCTTGTAAAATGGTTCCATAGCATTGGACCACGATAGGAAACAGCAAAGCTCGTAAGTTTTGATGTACGGAAAAGTTTTTTAAATCTTACGGTAGATCGAGTGTTGTATCGGTTCAATGTTTTAGGGAAAATATTTTCGAAAACCTTCGGCATTTTTTTTGACTGATGTTGAAACATAAATTGTGTAATTTTGAAAATATTTAGTTCATAAATATCAAGTGCCCTCCAGGCTTTATAAAAGAGGTTTAGCATTTGTGAAGTTTAGACTTATTTGTGCTACCCAAAACAATATTGCCATAAGATAAATAACTATTTATGAATGCAAAATATAGTTGAGTTGGTGTAGATTTGTCTGGTTTTATATTAAATGCAAATATTTCTTGAGATTTTATTGCTAATATGTTTAATATGATCTCTCCAGGATAAGTTTTCATCTATTAAAATACCAAGTAATTTATTTGCGAATGAGCGCTTAATTTTGTTGTTATTTATATATAGCATTGGTAATAGGGATGGCATCAATCCCAGGATTTCGGGATTAAGAAACTTGTCTCCGTGAAATCCCGGGATTGAAAAGAAAAAAACGCAAATGCAATTGAATACTTTTTAAGCACTTATCAAACACTTAAAAAGGATTAATTTAATAATAATTTATAAGTATTAGAAATTATAAAACAATACCTTTAAATTGTAACACAGTATAAATAAAAATTAGAAAATAATATAAATATGTATGACATTAAGAAAAACTTTCATAAATCACGCATTTGAAAATTAAAATGAATGGATATAAAACTGGAATTAAAATCGCGCATACCTTTGGAAGCAGAAAATTCAAAATTAAATTAATGTATAACTTTTATTAAAAACTCTTGCTCTTTTTACCAGCAAGCACTTAAATTATATTTAAGCAAGCGCTTAAACTTCATCTATTTTTATAATATACTAGTTTTAATATAATACTATATATTATATATAGTAAAATATTAAAACTAGTATATTATAAAAAATAACAAAAATATAAGCGCTTGCTTGTGGAAAGAGCAAGAGTTTTTAATAAAAGTTATACATTAATTTTAATTATATATATATATATATATATATATATATATATATATATATATATATATATATATATATAAATATATATATATATATATATATATATATATATATATATATATATATATATATATATATATATATATATAGATATATATATATAGATATATATATATATATATAAATATATATATATATATATATATATATATATATATATATATATATATATATATATATATATATATATATATATATATAGATATATATATATATAGATATATATATAAATATATATATAGATATATATATATATATGGATATATACACATATATACATTTTGCAGACAAGCTATATATATATATATATGTATATATATATATAAACATATATACATTTTGCAGACAAGACAATGTTTTGAGTTTTTTTTAGTAAAATACAGAAAATGAGAGTTTTAAAAGAAAAACATTGCAAAGATAATAAATAATTATACCACCAAACAGCTACTATACCAAAGACGATATAAAAATTACTAAACTACAATTATAAGCTTAAACTTTATTACCCTTTCCTATTTTTGATGATCTCGAAATCCCGGGAAATTTCGAAGACTAATCCCGGGATTTCAGGATTCGTAAGTTATTTATATTAAGTTATTTAACTATTTATTTAAATTATTTAACTTTAGTAAGTTATTTATTGTCAGGTCAGGTTTACTTTGCTACTGGTAACATGTAACCCAGTACAATCTGCTTCATGTCCTGCTGCCTTGTAGGATATGCCTTTTTAGGCAAAGGCTAGGAGATGCAAACTCCGACATAAAACACCTCCTGCCTTGGGGCTTTTGGTTGAATAAAGGCTAGAGAAGGTGTCTCAATAAAAATACTCATAAAACTCAGAACCATAAAACTAAGTTTTATGGTTCTGAGGCCGGCTGGTAGTCAGGTTTTCCGAACTCTATAATAGCTCTCAGAGAGGCTGATTTCATCAACAGCTGAAAAATATCAGAGTACTAACAGTGCCATGTTGCGCATGGATGGTGTTCCTGTTTGTACTTTTGGTGTGCATTGCCAAGGCCACATTGGAGCCCTTTGTTACGGCTTATACGTTGAAATGAGGCAATTGCTTGGGCTATAAAACAGTGTACTAAGTACTAGCTTTGTTTCAAGTCAAGTTCTTTAACAAAATTAAAAATGAATAAACAAAAACTATAAAACACAAAAAACCACAGTCATCACCAAGTTCGCTAAACCTATCATTCACCAATATTCGTCGCCTTCGAAGTAACTTTTCTTCTGTTGAGTCTTATCTCTTGCAAAGTTCACCAGACCTACTTGCTCTTTGTGAGACTAATTTGAGTTCAGCTGTCTCATCTTGTGATCTTAGTGTTGATGGCTATCTTCCTTTAATTCGTAAAGACTCCAATAGTCACATGCTTGGCCTGGGCATTTACATTCATAAGAATTCACTCATTTGTCGGGAAACTAGGTTTGAATCCACAGACTACTCTTTTATGTGCTTTCGTTTAGCACCACTTCACTCTATCACCTTTCTTTTTGTTCTATATTGCTCTTCTTCATCTCAAGACTGCACTCTTCTTGATGATATTTCTGATTATATTGACCAAGCCCTCATTCTTTATCCATCAACCAATATTGTTGTTGTTGGTGACTTTAATGTTCATCACACTGAATGGCTTGGCTCTAGTGTCAGTGACTCTGCAGGCATTAAGGCCCACAACTTTTGCCTTTCGCAATCCCTAACTCAAATAGTCAACTTTCCAACTCGCTTTCCAGACAACCCGAATCATTTACCTTCTCTACTCGACTTATGTCTTTTTTCTGATCCTAGTCAGTGCTCAGTTTCTCCACACTCACCCTTAGGTGCTTCTGATCATGGTTTAGTCTCTCTAAAACTATTATCTCATTCTTCTTTACCATCAGAATCCCCGCATCATCGTACATCTTACAACTACCTTAAAGCTGACTGGGACTCTTTCCGTGATTTTCTTCTTGATGGCCCCTGGGCAGAAACCTTTCGTCTTCCTGTTGACAAATGTGCTTCTTACATAACTTTGTGGATTCAGGCTGACATGAATCCACGAAGTTATGTAAGAGGGAATCCTTTATTCCCTCTCGACGATTCCAGATCAAGCCTTACTCTTCTCCATGGTTTTCCTCAGATTGCGCTGCTGCAATTGCCAATCGAAACCATTACTTCCATATCTATTAGCAAAACAATTCTCCAGAAAACAGACGTTTGTTTATTACTTCAAGAAACATTTGTAAAAAGGTTTTGTCTAATGCCAAAGCCCGCTATTCTCAGATCATGAAATCCTGTATTTCATCACAAAAATTAGGCGTGACTTCTGGAGAATCTTTAATAGTATCAATAATAAGGGCAAGTCTGTAATTCCACCTCTTTTGTACGGTTCAGACTTTGTCACCTCACCTAAAGACAAAGCTGAATTGTTTGCTAAAAACTTTTCATCAATATCATCTCTTGATTCCACTAGTTGCGTTCTACCTGATATAGCCGTCAAACAGGTTGATCCATTGCTCGACATCCGTATCACTCCAGCTTCTGTATCTAAAGTGATTTCCTGCTTAGACTCTTCTTCAGCTTGCGGCCCAGACAGCATACCTGTTATAGTCTTGCAAAAGTGTTCTCCAGGGCTGTCTTCTATCCTTTCAGAACTATTCAACAAGTGCTTATCAGAGTCTTGTTTTCCAGCCTGCTGGAAAGCAATATCTGTAATTCCTATATTTAAAAATTCTGGAGAGCGATCTGATTCGTCTAACTACCGTCCCATTAGTCTTCTTCCTATCATAAGCAAGGTTTTTGAATCTTTAATTAACAAACACTTAATCTCTTATCTCGAATCTCATAACCTACTTTCTGATCATCAATATGAATTTCGATCTTCTCGTTTTACAGCTGATTTGCTATCAGTAATAACCGATAGGTTTTATCGCGCAATAGATAAAGGTGGAGAGGTTAAGGCCATCGCTCTTGACATTTCTAAAGCGTTTGATAAAGTTTGGCATGCTGGTCTTCTCCAGAAGCTTTCTTCTTTCGGTGTACCTGGAAACATCATTAAGATTATTGAATCCTTCCTTTCCAATCGTAGTATAAAAGTTGATGGACAGCACTCTTCTTCTTATTCTGTAACCTCAGGGGTTCCCCAAGGTTCAATCCTTTACCCTATACTCTTTTTAATTTACATTAACGATCTTCTAGATATTCTCACATCTAAGGTGGCATTGTTTGCTGATGATACTACCATTTATTCTTGTCACAATAAAAAGCCAACTCCTTCTGATTGCTTGAAGGAGGCATCTGAGCTTGAAAAGGATCTCACTTCTGCTACAGCATAGGGCTCACAGTGGCTGGTGAACTTTAATTCAGATAAAACTCAATTTTTTTTCGGCCAATCATTATCGCAATAATTTAGACCTTCCTATATTTATGATCGGTAATGTACTTGATGAGTCTCCTACCCTTCATCTTCTAGGATTAACTCTTATATCTGATCTTTCTTGGAAAC